GATCGTTCTGATGATTGTAAACGTTCGACAGGCGTGGTACACGTTGGTATCTTTTGGAGCATATTGACGTGTACAAAATATCTCCAAATACGCTCTTAAAACATCCAAGACAGCTGTTTTTGTTTCAGCAAAAGAATGAATGTGCAGTTTTATGAATTTGATTTGATACGGTGTATATACAAATTCGAACAATTAGTCAGTCTTCCATCGTAGACCGCGTCGACCAGTTTGTTTCAAACGATATTTGATGCTGGCGTTAATTCTCAACTATTTTTTGAAGCGAGAAGTATCACTCTAGTTGATCCTGAAAACACAGCAATGACACAAACCACTTATTTGTATCATCGATTGTACGAAGACAAGAAAGAAACGTCTGCTAAATCGGCTTATCATTGATAATCACTTTCAGTTACTTTCATTGGACTTCTTGGAAATTTGAGTATCATGGCTTTACGTACCGTTTGAACGTTTTTCTTTTATTCCTGTTTCACATTAAGCTTGGCTTGCCAAGAGCGGCTTATGAGCGCGTGAATGAACGTCATTGATCCAAAGGGCAGGATATTATCACACTGAAAAGTGAAGCGCGTGCGTGCTGTATCGCTCTTGTCGCAGACACATCATCACTTTGGTTGCATAGTACAGCATCATTCGACTTCATAAAATTTTGCTTAGATTGGTGAATCATATTTTATTCTATTTATCTTTCCAGGCAAACGTGTCTTCTCAAAATTTCTTTCTTGGTAGTTTCACCTTTGTATACTAAAGGGCATTTCTGGGTGGTACAGCGTCGAGATAGGGAAGTTGCTCTCGTTTATTTTAGATAATCTAATGCACTTTCTCCAAAAACTGACTGACGATTTGATGATCTTACGCACGCGCAATTTTATAGGGGACTTATGTTTAAGCAGAAACCAATTCATCAGTTCGATTCATAGTTTTTTGGTGTGGTTTTATGGTTGGAATTTGTCAAATATAACAAGCATCTAGCATTTAGTAGTCATAATCGACAACATGAAATTATTCCACACGCATCCACGTTCCTGTCCAGGCGCTTTTTACGTCAACCTCACGAAAAGGTTCGTCGTATATACACATTTCAGCACACGTTACTACTAGAGCAAAACATGATTTTTCAGTTGCAATGAAAAGATTACACGGGGTGTGTGATGTGTCGAATTTTGAAAACTCTTAGAAACATTGGTTAAAGGAATTTTATCAAAGTCAACTTACTTAAAGTAGAAAGGGCTAGAGACAGTTATATGATTAGTTTCATTTCATCTCTGAACGTCAAAGAAAATTCGTTCCACGCGACGACATTTGACTGAATCAACTGCTATGGTACATGGGTATGACATAACCCTCTTCCCAAAATTAACCTGTTAAAAGGGGAAGCTTATCAATAATTAATTGTTCAAAGGAACGTTAATTACGGCATGATTAGCTGTCTTGACAATCAAAAATTATACGGAGAAGATTCAGGAAACAGTCGATTCTGATTGGTTAATAGGGATTTTGGGGCGTAACTTTGTAAGGAATTAAGGGTTTTGCTTTGGAGAAATTCTTCAGTCTTCGATCTTTCTTGCGATAAGTTAGGAGGTCGACTCCGAAAAACATGAAAATACGTCTCTCGTGATTGCAGTAAGATGTGAGAGTTGTCTCAGAAAGTAGACAAACTCTACATTTGAGGTTCGTTGGAAACGAATAAGAAACGGCAAAAGGTATTCAATCTTAGTTTGATGATTTTAATATGCTATTTCATTTGTTGATTGACTTGCAAATGTATTGATGTTATGAGCATGTATGCATCATTTCATTTTGCAGGGTTTTAGTGAAATGTTAATCATGATGTTTTATTCTTTGATTTTCTAATTATCAATTCATTTGGAGAATTAACAAGGTTGCATGTAATTGAATATTTGATACATATGAGTGCTTAGGAATTTTCAAGAAATAAAACTAGTAAATGATGGGTAACGTTTCGTAGATTTATGACTTAAATCTCTGTCTAGTATGACATTATTGAGTCTATATCCATATATTAGTTCGTAATATTTAATTGATCACGTAAACTATTTTAGAATAGTTAGATTTGAGGGTCTAAGCCATATGTAATCTAACACTACTAGATAGTTTAATGTAAGAAGTCAAGCGGTGTTAAATACGGGCACCTACGAAGTAGTCGTGGAGTGGAATTTAATGATCCATACTAGCGTGTTCCGAATTAAGGTCAGGACAGGCAATGACCGTCTTGTTGTAAGCATATGAATTAGTGAATAAGTGAGTGAAACATAATTTATGGCTTTTGTTTTCTGAGCCGAATTAATGTAAAAATATAGATATACTTGGAAATGTGACCTATTGTCTATTGCGAGACATTTTATTCATTAAAGGAAATAGCTTTCATAACCTCTCCCGAGATTTCTGAGATTCTCTGAAAATTCCTGTACCAATTCCAAGTACAAGAGCAAATTCTGAACCTAAATCTAGGTCTAGGGACGATAGTCAAATCAAGGTTCGACTGGCAAGAGTCCATGTCCAGACGACTAGACAAAGGTTGGCAGAGCAGGGACGAACGGCAGATCATATGTCCGGATAAGATAGGTGATGATGTCGCTCATCGTTGCACTCAAAGGTCACATCTCGTAGGCAATGACGAATTGAATTAATTCTGTCACTGACAAGTAATAGTAATAGTAAAGAAAATTGGTATTATTTTTTGAGTACATGTTATTACATTTTTCCTTCTTTCGTAACCATGTAATTGATTTCTTTTCATTTAAATTCTTTTGCTAAACTGATTCAATTTTATATTTATTCATTGAAAGGGGGCTCGTTGTGTTTATTTCTTCAATATACTTGTGCAGAGATCTGGATTCTTCTTTCTATCCATCCACACTAGGTAAATTACACCGCGAGAGGTTATTCCTTAGCAACGAATCGTAGTGGAAGAAGTTGGTGTGTTTTGAACGCCGCCAGTTTATCACAGGATCACAGGGTGATACAAATCATCAGTTGGAGAACTTGATTCTTACTAGCGAACGTTTATGAAGCCGTATATATATATATATATATATATATATATATATATATATATATATATATATATATATATGTATATATATATATATATATGTATATATATATATATATATACATATATATATATATATATATATATATATATATATATATATATATATATATATATATATATATATATATATATATATATATATATATATATATATATATATATATACACCCATGTGTGGTGTGCAACGGACACACATTGATATATATTATTTTGTCTTAATGTTCTACACCGTACAACAAACATGTAAGCATTTTTCCGACCCCAAAAGAAACAGCTGCGAGAATTCAAAGGTTTGATGATCACTACTTGGAAATCTTAGACGATGCCTTGAAAGTCCCTAAGTAGTCAAACGCCAGTCATAGTCTTGTTGATACGTTTACAACACGCCGTATGACTCAATTTCCAAACTCTGGCGTGGATGTTCTTTCGTACAACTATTCCCTTTGTGCAAATTTGTCTTTCGTAGTTTTGAGAGTAAATGGTACATAATTGCTATAAACAAATTATACACGACCTTGTTGATTTTCAAATCAAAATCATAATGAAATTAGAGACCAATCTGTGCATGGCATCTGGTTATCCACTTGTCTTGAGTTTCGCATGACTTTTTGGCAAAATACAGGCGGCGTTTCAGTTGGTACAATGTCTAAGGTGTTCTTAGACGTGTTGACTTTTGTATGACTGAAAAAGTGAAGAAAATATCTTTTGCCATTTCAGTCATTCGAAACTTATTGGGATTTTAGAACAAAAAGGCATTGCAAATAACTCGTGAAATTCTTTAAACTGCTCGGTTACCATTTTCATATAATTGATTTTGGCTCCTTTCATGATGGACAGTGGAAATTCTATTCTTTGTTTTGAAAATTATTTTCGAAGAAACTGTTCGTCGTATCCCGATAAATCAGCTTACTTATGATAATCTCTGTAACAATTCACTTCGTATCCGTCCTAGTTGTGTTCATTGAGGTCCAAGCCAAATCGGAAAGAGTATTGGAACCACGGGTATTTTTTTCCCACATCTACATGAGAGCATGCAACAATTCCAAAAGTGATGAAATAAATTTTCCCCTGGTTAAGTTTGTGGCAAGAGCGATGAGCAATACAAACGTTAGGAATGTGAACCTCATTATCTTGAGAACATTCAAAGGAAAAGGAAATCTACACTACACTACAGCTTATTTTCCTTCTGGCAATCTAATGATAATTCCACTGAATCCTTGACAAATCTCTGAATATAAGATTTTTTTTAGACAGCAATTCGAATTTAGGCGGTGTAGTAAAATTAAAGTCTACTCCTCCTGTGATAAAGGTGAAAATGCCTGACATAGTTGTCATGGAAAGAGCACTGGGGCTGCAGAATGTACACAACATCAAAAATATTAAACAGAAGAGACAGCAGAAGAATCCATTCAACTCTAGCAAGACATTTCCAAATGGACCAAAATGATCCTTTATCAAAAAATGTGTTTGAAATTAAATGTTGATTCTAATTCAGAAGAATATACCAAACGTTAGCGTACTAATTTCTTGATTTGTTTATTAGTATTGTTAGTGTTAGTGTTATTATTATTATTATTATTATTATTATTATTATTATTATTATTATTATTATTATTATTATTATTATTATTATTATTATTATTATTATTATTATCATTATTATTATTATTATTATTATTATTATTATTATTATTATTATTATTATTATTATTATTAACATTTTTATACAGGTAGGTAAGCAGAAGAAGTAGACGAAGATGGTGGTACTTGCAAAACTGCGTCCGAAAAAATCTGAATAAGTTCTGAATAAAACGTATTATCTTTTCTAACATCATAAAACAGTTCGATCCCTGATAGCCGTCCTAATGTTTATGCTTACTGACCTCATTCTGGTCCGACCGCTCCTGTGGCCTAGTGGTTAGAGCGTCCGCCTCGGATGAGGAAGGTCGCCGATTCAAACCCCGGTCAAATCATACCAAAGACTGCTAAAAATGGTACTAACAGATACCTCGCTATGCGCTCAGAATTAGGAGGTTAGTGTTAAGACTGGTCGACCTGGTTTTCAAGATAATGTGACTGGGTGGGGTATCTTGATACATGTCCGCGGCATGATGCCCCAGTGTTAGACATCACTATCAACTGCCACACTGCAGACATTGTAGCGATATGACTGAATTTTATTTTAAAGCTACGTCTAAAATCCAACACACACACAAACACACACACACACACACACACACACACACACACACACACACAAATTATGGTCCACTTTTACCCAAGGTAACGCCATATACAACTAATGTATTCTAACGTAATATTCAGGACGCTGCAAAAAGTTTAAACTTCCCTAGCAGACGACAGAACAGGACCGGAAGGAGATTCCTAGCAACATCACGCATAATCAATAACCAAGAATCACTAAAAAGCACATAACATTAGATACAGTAGTACGATCCTTATTATCAAGAATCAAGTCTTTATTGACTCTCACCAAACGGTAATATTATGGCAAATATGTAGTGGCGCTTAGATTGAAAGCGTAATTTAAGAATAGATAATCTTAACATCCAGTGTTAAATTTGTACCATTGTTGTTCTATATCATTCCTTTTCAACTGCACTTTGCAGTGAGAAAACTGTTGTCTATAATTAAACACGACCGTGAAATTTTACAATGGGAAGTACTTAACTTGGTATTAGCCTTGGCATCAGCACGTTGCCATATCTACTAGCTCTGTTAAGGTTTAAGAACAGGTTGTTGTTAAAATGAATTGTTAAGCAAATAATAACCGAGCTCTTCCTTCCAACGAAAATCAAGATCCGTTTAGTTCTAAAGTTAAACTAGCGTAATAAGAGAGATCTGTAAAAAGTGGAACTGAGATATTGTGTGGATATTAAGCTACCGGGAAAGTTTGATAATGCGCAATTTATCGTATCTTTTTAGTATAATTCATGTGATGACATTTTATTAGTATAATTCATGTGGTGATATATTTTATTAGTATAATTCATGTGGAGACATATTTTATTAGTATAATTCATGTGGTGACATTTATATTTAACATAATTCATATGGTGATATATTTTATTAGTATAATTCATGTGGGGACATATTTTATTATTATAATTCATGTGCGGACATATTTTATTAATATAGTTAATGTGGGGACATATTTTATTAGCATAATGTATGTGGGGACATATTTTATTAACATAATTAATTTGGGGACATATTTTATCGGCATAATTCATGTGGGGACATATTTTATTAGCATGATCCATGGGACAAATTTTATTAGTATAATTCATGTGGGGACATATTTTATTAATATAATTTATGAGGGACATATTTTATTAGCATATTTCATGTGGGGACATATTTCATCTATTTTGTCTGAACAAATATTTGCACATATGTTTCAAAAGATTGTCCAACCATTGTTATGGAAACGTCAAATTGTCTTTTCTTTCCTCACTGTCTCCTTGACAATAGATAATTTATGACATCAATCGTTAAAAATGTGATAACTACATATAATACAGCAAATAAAAACAAAGTACCCTCATTACGTTCTGGATTACTACCTACGCACCTTGATGTTACTGGATCCAGTTTTAAAGCTTACAACTTAAAGACTTTTTTGCCCCATCCCTGTTATTTAAATATTTGATTATGTACTCTATGAGTAAGTACATGCATATTGAATGATTTCAACTGTTTGAGAGAGATCGAAAATAACACAACGATAATTAGAGTTTTCGTGTAAACAGTCGATTGATCTGTTCTGGGTTTTTTTTTTCAGAAACGTCAAACAGGTATGATCCTATTTGAATTAACTTTGATCTGTTGAAAACTCAAAGTCATTTAGATGTGAAATATTAACTCGTATTTATTCGTTTTACTTTGATGTTCTAAGTCTTTCGTATTTAGAATCAGTTTTTTTAAAAAAAATAAATAAATTTCTGGTATGCAGCTTTTTTATTAAATACAATCGGTCTCTACGTGTCATGGGTCAGTAATTTACTTCATTACCTTTTAAAACGTAGCCTATGCCATTAATCAGTGTCAGTGAATAACTAAACACGTATGACGAAAATAGTCTAGACACTATATTTTTTACATCCTAACGTACACATGCCAGTTATAAACCGATCTCTTGCCTCTTTGACCACTCCAGCACATTTGTCAGCAAACTTGATTCAAATTAAATTCCGAAACTTGGCAAACGTATAAGGCGTCTAGTAGGCTACTAACAGACTTCGTGGCAGGTGGAGTAATATGCCTTGAATCTGATTAAATTCAGATTTCCACTGTCCTAAGTGAAGATCTGACAGTAACCGCACAGGGGTCATGTTCTGGTGTCCCATGTTATTACCATATCCGCTAAATTTATCAGCCAATCAAATGAAGACTTTATATCATCGCCTTTTGGAGACTGAGGTTTATAACTGAAGTTCACTAATGTGTTCCAAAAGATTTTATTCATTTTCACTGTTTAATTCAAAGGTTACCAGAACATGACCCCTAAGTGGTAGGGTCAGAGCTTCACTTAGGACAGTGGAGATCTGATTTTAATAATATTTATATTTCTTAATATAGCACATTCAATCCGTCAGGTTAACAATTTTACAAAATGTGTCTTCAGTGTTGTGCCGATCAAACGATACTTAAATATTTTAGGAAAAAAGCGGTATAATTCATATAGTTTTGTCTGGGCAGGAAGGCTGCACATTCCTAGCAATAAGCTTTATTCGCTCTTTGTTACAAAAACGTCAACCAATAAAACTTTTGTTCCATAATTCTTCACACTTCATTTAAAGAACACGGGGCACTGTCAGTTATTATTTTATCATTGTCGAGGCATAATTGTACGAATCTGATATGTAAATTTTCATGCCGACAATAGAATGCTTTATTGTCATTGTTGGAATCCCCTGCTAGATTTGAGATGTCAAGTTCGGGTATTTTGAAACTGTTGTCTATTTTTTTTAAAGCAAACGATTACTTCCTAATTGGGTTTGTTCTTCTCGTGTCAAAAATACTGACTTTAAAATGTGAATTGTCTACCCAGCGAACCAGACAAGGATTTTATAAAGTTGTAGTGGGGGTATCCACTTAAGCAACTAATTTGTAGACACTTTGGAAAAAATATCAGCATCTATATGTAGTTCTTGTTCTTTTTGTAGGGTTTAACGCCATTTTATCAGCAAATGATAAGCTGTACATGGCGACCAATATAAATGGTGGAGGAAAACCCCGGAAAGAACCACCGACCCACGAGAAGCTACTGGCAAGCTTTTTCACGTACCCACATTGGCCAGGCCCAAGATTCGAACCCACGCAGACAGAGGTGAGATGGCAGTGATCCGTAACGGTGAGTACTCTAAACCACTCGGCCACTTAAAAACTTAGGGATGTCAAAATCGAAACTTCCCAGCGATACCGTACGCAAGAACATGGTACACGGACAGCAACCGTGTTTCCGTGTTGAAAGGAATAGACGATAAAATGGCGGCAGTTACTGAAGAAATTGAAGAACTCCAAACATCTTATTTTGCTTTTAGACTTCATGGTTGTATTGTAGAATGCTATTAGCGTTTATAGTTAATGAAGGGTACATTTATTTTTTTTATCAAAATTATGATAATAACAAATGCATTGGTGTTTTTCATTGTTCAAAAATATGATTGTGGAAATTTTTTTAATAACCCAATAGATCTTTTGCCGTAAATAATTTGAGCTGACAAGGTCGCCACGAAATAGAATTCAGCTGTAAGTCACCCAGTTGGATAATAATTGCAAAAAGATAAAAGAATATTCGAGTTGTTGAATTTCACACTTGAATGCCAGGCAAAGTGAAAATATGCTCAGTGTGATATTACCATAGTGAATAATTCTGAACTAGAGCTGCAAGTGATGTTACCAGCAGAGCACATTATGGCTTTCCAGTTGATGATATGCACACGAATTTATATGATTTCCTGTCAATTTAGTGCTAACAAAGATCTGCAAAAATTTGTATTACTTATAAGTGTCAGAGAAGAAAAAACTGGGTTTATTTCATTAATGGCAAAACAATAACAACTCTGTTGTATAAAATTTCCTTCTCTCTTGGTACATTTTAAAATTGCCAATGCTGTTCTTATAGAGTATGTTTGAAACCTTCTATGATTTACCTCGAATGGTTAGCATAGAAGTCAGAACAGTTACTACTTTTCTGCGGGGCAGTTTGAAAAGGTTTTGTTGTTTCTGAGGAGCATTGAAACAAGACAGACAAAATAGCTTTCTTTCAGTAAATGGGAGGTCACTTTTGTGTACTCTTGCTCTCTTTAGACACCATATTGTCACCAAGATATTAATGAGTGTTCTTCAAAGGTGCAGTGCTAATGTATAGTAAATACAAAATCACCTAAAATAAATAAAAATGAGCATAAATGTACCAAATTAGAGATTTCTTAAGAAGCGGTGACAACGAATTAAATGCAAACAAAAATACAAATAAAGAAATCGAAGATGAATTGAAAGAGAAAGACATTATTAGTTCTGTAATAGAAATCTCAGTGTATACTAATAGCATTTTATAAATAATCATTGTAAATGTTTGGATTTTTTATGGCGGATTAGGACGGAAGTTTCCTAACAATGAACCGGTCACTTTGTGATTCGGTGGGTGTGGGTGAAAGGTTGCAGACCCCTTTACATCAGAAGTCGATGTTTCCAGAATGCATTTTGTCGATTAAAGATTGACAGAAATAAATAATCCTCAATTAAGCAAAGACATATCCGGCCATAATTTTTAGCCATAAATAATAGAAAAGTTATCTGATGTCAAAATGTCAACATGAAACCACACTCCATGACCGTATTGAACTTGAAACCCAGAAAAAATCTATTTACTATGTATCTTTAAGAATCATAAAATGAATATATTATATAAAAGATGAAAATGTATACCTTAAGACAATGCTGC